AGCCTGCGCATGTCTCCTGCAGTGGGGGATGAGCTGCCGGTGGACCAAGCGGTCCCTGAGCTGCAGAGGGCCCCAGTCCCTCCTTCTATGGTGGTGGTGCCCCTGGGGCCACTTAGGCAGGTGGCTAGCAGGAGGGTGCTGCCCCAGCTCAGGGAACAGTTGGATTGGGATGGGGAATACCTGTGAGCTGGGGCAGCACCCACCCGCTAGCCACCTGCCCAGGTGGCCCCAAGGGGCACCACCACTGTGGAGTGGAGGTCCAGGGATCCCTGCAGTTCAGGGCCCCCCCAGCCACAGGATAGCCCAGCCGAAGGTCCAGGGCACCCAGCAGCTTACACCCCAGCTGTGGAAGAGGCAGGTAGGCTCCACAGGGAGAAAATAAAGGATCAGGCCCCTCACCACTTTTTTTCCCTCCGCCTCAGTGAAGCCTGCCTGTGCGAGTTGCCACTGTGCTGTGCAGCCCCTGAGCTTCTTGGGGGCCTGGTCCTTCTCTCTGCCATGGTGGCACCCCCTGGGGCCACCCAGGTGGGGTGCTAGCTGTATGGGTGCTGCCCCAGCTCACAGGCAACACTCTCCATATCCAACTCGTCACAGAGCCCATGCAGAGAGCAGTGGTTCCAGTGTACAGGCGCAGGGAGTAGTTCCCAACTGTTCCCTGAGCTGGAGCAGCACCTGCCCACTAGCAGCCCACCCAGGTGGCCTCAGAACGAAGGACTGGGGCCCTCCACAGCTCAGGGGCCACTCGGCCCACTAGCAGCCCACGCCCTGCTGCAGGAGACATGGGTAGGCTCCATAGGGGGGAAAAAAAATTAATCGGGCCCCTTACCGTAACAGTGATGGAAGCCCCTCAATTTAAACAGTGTTTTTTAATCATCACAATTAAAAACCACAGTTTCAATTTAGGGGACCAAACCCCCGCCATGTGTACAAGCAGCCTTAGTATGTTAAATAGTAACAGTTTTGCTTTTTCTTTCTGCATCTGTGTCTTGATTGGGTTAAGAGAAAGTGATACATGCCTGGTGAATTGTACGCAGCTAATTAAGAACATATCACATTGATAACAATTGACAGTGTTTATTATCAAATCTGCTAAAAATATTTGCAATCCTGTCATCTGTATCAGCAAGATAACAAGTGACATTCTGTCTCATGTCTTTTCACAGGATCTGTTGTTCAGCGTGTGTGCTCTCAATATCATCTCCACCATTGTCTGTGCCCTGGCAACAGCCATGTGCTGCATGCAGATGGTTTCTTCTGATGTTCTGCAAATGGTAAGAGCAGTTCAATGACAATAGTTATATTTTTTTCCTCTGTACGTGTATCCCACATGCACATATTTGTTGTTTATCCACATGGGCTATGCCTAAAATATATATGTTTGTAATGCACTATCAAAAATGGTTGATGCTGTTTAAAAGTTTATGTAATAGAATTTATCAGGACTGTGTATGAAAGTGCATGTAATTGGTTACAACTTATGAAGTGAGAAGATTCAATTTGCATATGCAAGTTAGCTTTTGTGTCACTGCAGTTGCATCTTATGCCTTTAGCTGCCACACTGCCTGTTTGTCTTAGAACGTTTTGGATGGAGGGGATTAGGCTTTTTTTGACTAAATGATTTTTCTATAAAAAGTGTCATTTTGTGAAACCTGAAATGTGAAACCTGAATCAGACAAAAATGGACTTGAAGCTGGGCTTCCCAGAGCAAAGAGAAGTGCCCCGATTGCAAAGATGTTGACTGTTTTGGGATGTATGTCTCTTTGGGATTTTTAATACCGCAGAAAGAACTGCAATAGGTCTGAGTTCAGTGTTGATGTGGATTTAAAAAAAATAAACATCTTGAAAAGGTTTTCAGGACTAGAAAACTATTTACTTCCCAGCTGGGGTTCTGTCAATTTCTAGAGGACACGCACACAAAACAGCAGTAGCTGTATCTAGGGTCTTTCCCTCTGATGCAGTACTGAATTCGGAAAATGTACTGGTCCAATAAATTATTCATGCATACTTAGAAAGTCCTTTTTACACTGCAAATGAAATACAAACTGAACTGGTTACAGGAAGACAATTACATTCCAGATTAGGCTTCTGGCTGGAACAAAATATCCTCAGCTGGCATAATTGCCGAGTTAAACAAGTATGATTTGAGGAAATGAACTAGCTTTACAGCTAAATGTATCAGTACTTGGTTACAGACTTAGTTATTTTTTTGTAGAAGGTCCTTAGATGTTAGTAAGTTTAGCACAGGTGTGGATCAAAGGTTCACTGTAAAAGCAATTTATCAAATGACTATTCCCACAACAGTTGTGTGCATACATCTGTGCAGTACCACTTCTATAACCCTCTTGGATATTATAAACAGCATTGAGAGATGGCCCAGTGTGTTTAAAACATTAATCAAAAGAAGATTTTTGTTCCATTGTGCACTTGCTGCAGAGCCAGAGGCTTTCTTGATTTTTTTTTTTAATTGTATTTAATAAATGATCTTAGCCACAAGGTACCTGATACTAAAGATTCTGATCACAAAGGAGTTTTTTCACCTTGCAGTAATGACAAGGTGAGCCCTAATGATCTCACATGATAAGAGCAGTCTGCCTAGTGTTACAGTAATGTCAGACACCCAGGGTGTAGTCATGAATATTCAGTGAATTAACCCTTGATTGATTTATGTTATAGCATCATTTTTAATGGTAACAAAACCATACAGATAACAGTGAACCAAATAAACTATTGAAGTGTTTGTCTCTCCCTTTCTCCAAGCTCTGATCAGCTTGAAAATTATTCATCTCCCTGCTCTCTGAACTGAAATCAATACTTCCCTTTTCTCATTGTTCCCCCATTTTCTGACAGGCACATGCAAAAAATGATGAACTCGAATAGGAAAGAGAGTTATCTTCAAAATTGTAATTATTCCTTTCCTCCCTTTCAGCCATTTTCTTTTTTTTTTTCTTGTTCCTTATGTTCTTTCCCTTTCTCCATTCAGACTCATTTCTCACTATGTTCTACACTTTTTCAGGTTTGGCTCTTCCAGTTCTCTGTTTTCTAGCCATCCTATATCATTTTCCTCCCATGCCCTTACATGTCCCTTCTTATTTATTTATTTATTACATAAAATAAATCTAGCCCCCAGCACTTTCTCCTCACCCTAGTGTTCCATAAACAGCATTTCCCTTCCTTTTTTTTAGGTTCAGGAGTCCAATTCATTTCCTACTCTCTTGCTTTCAAGTCCATGATTCTTCTTGCCCCTTTACCTCCCCTAATAGGTTCCAAATCCCTATTTCCTTTCAATGGAAGGGCTCCAACTTGGGAGTGATAAGATAGCAACAATGGGAAAATGTTGGCTTTGGTGGGTAAAGATGTTTTAAATATTTTAGCATATTTTCACTCCACACATGGCTGCTACTCTACAGTGAACCAGTTAGAGCTTCCTCCTATGCCAATAAGATGTATTTGTTTGAAACCTTTGGTAATGAAGCTCTAGGGAACAATCTTATCCTGATGGAAAGTAGACAGTACAGCTCAACCAGTTAACTCTTCTGTGATTCTTTGTGCTCATTTAGGCCAGGTACAGGCACACTTTTACCAGTATAAGTGATCGGAAAGCAGTATATATGCATAACAGAACAAAAGTTCAGCACTCAGGACTTTTATAGACATGCTGTGGGGAGGGAGGGGGCGCTTTAATTAGAGCGTCTCTGAGTGCCGCTCTAATTAAAGCACCTGGAGCATCTTATGTGTCAGTGTCCCCACACTGAAAAATGGTGCCCAGGACACTTTAACTAAAACTTGTCAAACAAGCTGATTAACATTACATATTAATTAAAGCCCACCTGCCACCATTTTTCAGCAGGGGGACACTGATGTACGTGACACTGGAGTCTGCTGGAATGCAGTAATTACCACACTCCAGCAGACTCGATTAATCAAGTCTGCTCCAATGCATTGTAATTACAACACGTCGGAGCAACCTCTCTGCATGTGTATAGGCACCCTCATAGTCTGATTTAAAAATGGAGGAACCCGGTCTAAGATTCACCCACCCACCCCTCCAAAGGGCAATTGTGTGATCTGAACTATGCCACTTACAGAAAACTTCATAATTTAGATTGATTCTGCTTCAGGCTTTTTGAATGTCTATACCAAGCCTAATTGTCTTCTGGCCCAGAAAGTTAGCTGGGTGAAAACTTCATAAGGACCAGTGCCTCACTTTTGCCCTCACGGCGTCGTTTAAACACATTGCAGTATTCGTTTCTATCCAGTTTTGCCTATAGAAATGTTGAACTTGCATGCATTGTAATCACAAGGAACTTTATACCTATTCTTGATGTGTCCCTTTTCCTTGTGACATCTTCCTACAGTAATTGCAGAGATTCATATACAGAAACTTGCTGTGTTTTATTGCATATATTATGTACATCTAATGTATTGATCTTGTAGTTAAAATGCTTTAGATTGGAGTTGTCTAGTAATTGTATATATGCTTGTACCTACATCAGGTTAAATATGGATGTAGAGAAGTTTTCTAAATCTAGTGGATTTAGAAAAGTTTAAAGAAAAATACTTTCAAGTCTTAAAAATAGGTGCTCTAGTTTTATTTCAGCACCCCCTTTCTTCAAATTCCAAGTCTAAAATATACCAGATTTTGAATCCTAATAAACTTTTCTGCCATCTGTACCTAGAGGCATGAAACTGAACTGGCAACTCTGCAGACTTCATCAATACGAACATAAATAATCACTTTTCCAGTTATGATCCTTAGAGAACCTCCTTTTTCTTATTTCCTGAACCAGGGGTGTCAAACATATAGCCAACAGACCAAATCCAGCCTGTGGAGCCGTATGATACAGCCTGCATTCACTGGAATAAATCCATGTGCCAGCCCAAGCACCATGCACTTGCAAGCAGCATAGGGAGTTGGTCTGAGACACCACATACAGCCTGCAACCTGAACCCCCTCTGCCATGTGCAGTGCATGTAGCACATACCCCAGCATGGTATGGCCAGCACAGACCCCTATGCTGGTCCCAGGGGCCACATGCAGAGTGAGCCCCGAGGCTGGTGCATGCTGCACATGGTGCATGGGGCTGGACTGGCTATGTGCCAAGCAAGTGGCATGGGGAGGTTGTTCCAAGGTCGGTTCCGGTCTGGCCCACAGACCAGACCAGCAGCACTCACCTGGCCCACAGGGTTGGATGAGTTTAACACCCCTGACATAAGAGAACAGTAGGGTGGAGAGAATAAGCATGTGAAGTCAAAAGCCTGACAAAATGTATAGTAATAATCCTTTCCTAGAATTATTCATCTCTATTTTAGTCTCACATCATCTCCATTGGTTTTCTTGACGGTCTTTTTCAGTTCAGCTCACCTGACACAGTCTACGATCTGTTTGCATTCTATGTTAGCATTCATCAAAGGATGCTAATTATTTTTCCTAACCCCCATTTAAATATACATTAATTTATGATAGTGTCACTTGTGCCAACACTGCTAGTCCATTCAGTGCTATTGCTTCCCAGTAAGAAATGTATTAAAATACATATTTGTATAATTATAATCAGCAATCCACTGTTAGCATTCATAGTCCCAATAAAAACTCCTCTCTCCAAATTAATATTTCTTAAGTTTAATTTTTGCCAGCATTTTCCCAGTTGATCAGTATCTTACTTTGGAAGAAACTGCACTGAAACCTTCAGGGATCAATTATCCTTTCATTATGCACGTCTACACTGGCTAGTGTAATAGGGACCAATTCTTTCTTGGGGCTATCACACGACAAGTAGCAAATAATTCCCCAGAAGTAAATGTAACAAATCTGGCCCTTAATTAGGATTAAATCTGGGAAAAAAAGATTTTTAAGAATACTGCTGGTGGCTGCCCTCAATCTGACTGGGACTTCTGCCTGCTGCTGTTGTATCACTGACCAGTTAGCAGGCCAGTGGCTCAATTTTCAGTGCTGGCTGTTACCTGGCTAGTAAATAAACTGATTTCAAATCCACCAGCTTCCCCACAGCATAAACAAAAGAGCTCCTTCAAATCCTTCTACTGTATGGTAATTGCTCTTTTCAAGAACTATGCTAATCTTTGAATGAAGCAGCTTCATGGGACATGCATAGGAGATGCAATTGAGATGTGTGTGAAGTTGTTTGAGTTAGGAATGCATTTGAATTTTTTTGAATGGAACAGACAGCAACTTCTAAATAAAATGTTCTGTTTAGCTATAATAGGCCACTGATGATGATAAGGTAAGCAAAATTTGGACCAATATTTTGGACCA